TGCGCCATCTTTGATAAGAAATTTGAACTATTTTGACGCGTATGATGGATTACAAATAAAACAATTTTCTACCGTCCATTCTGCAATTAATTTTCTTGATATTTCACGGATGTATATATTTTTAAAGTTTAATACAAGTCTATACCTGAGAGAGGAATTTTCAAAATAAAGAGTTTCTGCAAATTTTCTCTCTCCTAGAGATCGTTACTCTCACAAAATAACACAATGAAATGTAAATAGTACATTGCCAAGTACAGCGTGGTGACATCTGATAAACTGGATGTCCAACATTTGATGTGAAAACCAACCCGGATAGTTGGCCATTACTTTAGTACGTGGTGGCTCCAGGAATCTGGGATACCTCGAGAGAGTATTATATACAGGATGGCCCATAACTCCGAACCTTTTTATTTTTAATTAAAAATAAGTTTTCGGGACTTATGGGCCACCATGTATATGTAAAATATGATATTTAAATATGAAAACTGTGTATTTTTTGAATATGTGGAAAATATTTTAGAACAGTTAGGGTATGTAGATGGCTATGTGGAACAAGGCTTTAAACATTATGTACTGTAGTCAAGTCAGTATATCCCGCTATACTCCAGTGTTTTACGTGGAACTTCTCCATAAATTTTGTTTTAAAGATTTTTATAGGCTGTATATATATTTATTAGACTATCTGAGAATTATGTCAGATGGGGACACTTTAAAGGATTCTTGGACGTTCCATTGTTGCCTTAGTAACCTGTCTCAACAATCTTAGAGTTTTGGCAGTCCTTCCGGGTGGTGGTGTCTTTAAATTTGCCTTACAGGCTTAGAATTATTTTGCCTATAATGGCTATGGGTGACTGCCGTGTACTCTATTGGCTGTGTGGCCTTGAACGTGGCCTGTTGGCCCATGTGCCTTAATGGCCGGATATTATAAATGGACATCGCCACCCCTGCAATCTTAACTAATGCTTTTCAAGTGGACGCTCAACTGCAATCCATCTGAGCAATTCCTGCAACTTTCCTCTCGATATCTGGAGTCTGGACCTGATCATCTCTGGGACGTGGGACCAATGCTGCTTCTCGAAGTGGACGCTCAACTGATGGAGACTTCCAGCTTTCCCCTCGGGATATGGACTCTGGACCTGGTCATCTCTGGACTCTGGGATCTTTGCTGCTGTTGGAGTGTGAAACGGAAAGTGGGCTGAATGCAATCTTTCTAATAAAACAGTTGAATGTCACTTATTAAAAACATAAAATTCAAGGAACGCCTCTAATCAAACTCAGCTTTAGGAGGAGTCTATTTATTCTATAGCTTGGTAGATATTAGAATTGGGATATTTCCACACAACTAGGTACTATATAAAATGTAAGAAAATCTATGACCCTATTGATGCAATTATAACATGTACATAGATATCTGTAGTAGCTATTGTAAGCTTACACACTCTATATAGCTGTTATTAGAAATTACCATTTAAACTGGTGGATTTCTATGGTTATTTGAGGATGAAACAATCTACGCCATCATAGTGGCCGGACTATATCAGAACCCAACTGTTGATATCAACTTATAAAATATTTAGATAATAAAATTGTCTAATATACAGACACATTTTATAATTTATCATATTTTTCCTTATCCCAAGTACACATGGTACATGATAGCGGGTAGTTAGTAACTGCTTTTTACATAAGTGCACCTCATGACTACACTTGTTGAAAGCAGTTCGACTTTTGTACTTCTAATTCACCATATGAATTTGTCATTTTGTTGATTTATATCCAATCCTCATTCTTATTTACATTTTCAATATAATATTTATCATAATATTAACACATTCTAGAAGACAATAGTTATATAGAAATAGATTTTTAAAAATATTACTCTAGTTAGAACTTTTAACAAATATATAGATGTCTAGATTCCATCGTCGAATTCTATGAAGAGATCATTTAATGAATGATGATGAAAATTAACGTCGTGCACTTCCGAGAAAGGAATTTTAAAAACTTTATGATTACAAAGTGAAATTGCCAAAATAAGCCATCAAATTCGAACTGTAATAATACCAAATGTAACGAAAAATTATTAAAACATTTTTGTTCATCTTTAGAACGTGGAAATTTAGACTAATTGATAATTTCTACCAAAATGTTTCAAATCAACTTTGACAGCCATTCGATCATAAAAACCTTGAATTATTCTTTTAAAATTTCTCAAGGCTCCTATGACGAACTCCAAATGTTTAAAAATTAAGGAAGTTTCATATAAAAAATCTCAAGTAACAAGATTTCTTTAAAAATTTAAATTTCATATAAAACAATGGTTAATTTAGTTGATTTATTAAGGGATAAATATTTGGGTTAATATATCAGAAATTAAAAAAAAATTAGATGATATTTAACAAGATAGACAATCGACAAGTTGTGAACAACAAAAAGTCCATAAACAGGTCGTTAACAAATCCTCAGAAGACAGGATGTAAACATATTTGCCATGCCAGTCCTTGATTGGACACGGACGCCCAGCAAAATCCACCACTCTCTGACGTCACCATTAGCATATAAATTGGGCTGTGTCTGGGCCCAGAAGGCAGAAAAGCGCAGTGTACAGTAGCACAAAGGCAGGGTAGACATTAGGACATAATACTGCTTGATTGGCTAGCAGTCACAGAAATCCCATAGTAAACTCTCATCTTCCCGGGTACCACCCCCTAACCCGCGGTGCCATGTTCCTATGCACGTAGCCTTTTTTTTCCAAGCTAAGGCGCTACATCTTTGGCACTCACTGCAAGTTGGATGAGGAGCCTACTGCCACGATGTCCACATTTTACAATAAACACTACAATATATATATGCTTTAAATATGATTCATTTGTGCGCCATCTTTGATAAGAAATTTGGACTATTTCGACGTGTATGATGGATTTCAAATAAAACAATAACTACCGTCCATACAGCAATTATAAAAAATATTGAGAGGGTCTGGCTCGTCACTGATGATATTTTTTGCATAAAACTTCCTGAATTTTAAACATTTGGAGTTCGCCACAGAACCCTTTCGAAATTTTAAAAGAATATTCTGAGATTTTTGTGATCAAATTGCAATCAACGTTAATTTGAATTAAATTTCCATATTCTAAAGATGAGAAAAGATGTTTTAATAATTTTCTGTTACATTTGGTATTGTTTACAGGTTGAATTTGGTGTCTTATTTTGGCATTTCACCTTATAATAGTAAAGTTTTAATCATTTATTTTTTGGAAGAGCAATAAATTAATTTTCATATTCTTTGTGAAATATTTCTATATAGGATAAAATGAAATATTCAGGGATGTATCTTTTTTAAAATTCAATACAAGTCTATACTTGAGAGAGGAATTTTTCAAAATAAAGTTTCTGCAACTTTTCTCTCTCCTAGAAAACGTTACTCTCACGAAGTAACACTATGAAAATGTAAATAGTACATTGCCAAGTACAGCGTGGTGACATCTAATAAACTGGATGTCCACCATTAGATGTGAAGTCTCAACCCGGTTAAATGGTGACTTTAGTAATTGGATTGGTGGCTCCAGGGATCCGGGTACTTGAAGAGAGTATTATAAACAGGGTGGTCCATAACTCCCGAGCCTTTTTAATTTTAATTAAAAAATAAGTATTCGGGACTTATGGGCCACCCTGTATATGTATAATATAATATTTAAATATGATAATTGTGTATAGAATATGTGGAAAATATTTTTTTTAACAGTTAGGGTATGTAGATGGCTATGTGGAACAAGGCTTTAAACATGATGTACTGTAGTCAGTCAGTATATCCCGCTCTACTCCAGTGTATTATGTGGAACTACTCCATAGATTTATTATTTTAAATCTTTTTCAAGGCTGTTTATATATTTAATAGACTATCTGAGAATTATATCAGATGGGGACACTTTAAAGGATTCTTGGACGTTCCATTGTTGCCTTAGTAACCTGTCTCAACAATCATAGAGTTTTGGCAGTCCTTCCAGGGTGGTGGTGTCTTTAAATTTGCCTTACGGGTTTAGAATTATTTTGCCTATAATGGCTATGGGTGACTGCCGTGTACTCTATTGGCTGTGTGGCCTTGAACGTGGCCTGTTGGCCCATGTGCCTTAATGGCCGGATTTTATAAATGGACATCGCCACCCCTGCAATCTTAAATAATGCTGTTCAAATGGGCGCTCAACTGCAAACCAACTGAGCAATTCCTGCAACTTTCCTCTCGATATCTAGACCTGATCATCTCTTGGACGTGGGACCAATGCTGCTTCTCGAAGTGGACGCTCAACTGATGGAGCCTTCCAGCTTTCCCCTCGAGATATGGACTCTGGACCTGATCACCTCTGGACTCTGGGATCTTTGCTGCTGTTGGAGCGTGAAAGGGAAACTCGGCTGAATGCAATCTTTATAATAAAACGTTGAATGACTCTTATTAAAAACATAATTCAAGGAACACCTTTAATCAAACTCAGCTTTAGAAGGAGGCTATTTATTGTATAGCTGGGTAGATATTAGAATTGGGATATACATACACAATTAGGTACTATATAAAATGTTACAAAATCTATAAACCTATTGATTCAATTATAACATGTACATAGATATCTGTAGTAGCTATTGTAAGCTTACACACTCTATATAGCTATTGTTAGAAATTACCATTTAAACTGGTGGATTTCTATGGTTATTTGAGGATGAAACAATCTACGCCATCATAGTGGCCGGACTATATCAGAACCCAACTGTTGATATCAAATTATAAAATATTTAGATAATAAAATAAATTGTCTAATTTATAATACAATATAATGGGGCTTATGATTGTATAACGGCATTTGAAAATTATCCCCATAGAATAAATTTCGATTTTTGTTCAAAAGAAACACATGCAGGATAATTTTCAAACTTCGTTCTGCAATCATAAGCCGCATTATATTGTATTATAAATTACTTTATATAATATTTACGAACGGAAAAATATGTCCAGGGTAGTCTAGTGGACATGGCATCTGGCCGTAAGTGCAACACTGTGGGTTTGATTCCCAATCCTGGATACTTTATTTTTCCATTTATCATTACTCTTCACAATTCATACTTTCATACTTCATCCCTAAGGTTATAAATAATTGTTATTTCTCCTTAAAATAAATTTAGATTTTTCGTTCAAAAGAAAGACATGCGGGACAAATGTCGTTCTAACTGTCTAATATACAGACATTTATATAATTTATATTTTTCCTTATCCCAAGTACACATGGTACATGATAGCGGGTAGTTAGTAACTGCTTTTTACATAAGTGCACCTCATGACTACACTTGTTGAAAGCAGTTCGACTTTTGTACTTCTAATTCACCAAATGAATTTGTCATTTTGTTGTTTTATATCCAATCCTCATTCTTATTTACATTTCAATATAATATATTTCATAATATTAACACACATTCTAGAAGACAATAGTTATAAAAATCATTATATAAAAATAATACTCTAGTTAGAACTTTCAACAAAAATATAGATGTCTAGATTCCATCGTCGAATTCTATGAAGAGAACATTTAATGAATGATGATGAAATTAACATTGTGCACTTCCGAGAAAGGAATTTTAAAAACTTGACTATTACAAAGTGAAATTGCCAGAATAAGCCATCAAATTCGAACTGTAATAATACCAAATGCAACGAAAAATTATTAAAACATTTTTGTTCATCTTTAGAACGTGGAAATTTAGACAAATCGATAATTTCCACCAAAAGGTTTCAAATCAACTTTGACAGCCATTCGATCACAAAAACCTTGAATTATTCTTTTAAAATTTTTCAAGGCTCCTATGGTGAACTCCAAATGTTTAAAAATTAAGGAAGTTTCATATAAAAAATCTCATGTAACAAGATTTCTTTAAAAATTTTAAATTTCATATAAAACAATGGTTAATTTAGTTGATTTATTAAGGGATAAATATTTGGGTTAATATATCAGAAATTAAAAAAAAATCAGATGATATTTAGCAAGATAGACAATCGACAAGTTGAACAACAGAAAGGCCGTAAACAGGTCGTTAACAAATCCTCAGAAGACAGGATGTAAACATATTGGCCATGCCAGTCCTTGATTGGACACGGACGCCCAGCAAAATCCACCACTCTCTGACGTCACCATTAGCATATAAGTTGGGCTGTCTGGGCCCAGAAGGCAGAAAAGCGCAGTGTACAGTAGCACAAAGGCAGGGTAGACATTAGGACATAATACTGCCTGATTGGCTAGCAGTCACAGAACTCCCATAGTCCACTCTCACCTTCCCGGGTACCACTCCCTAAACCGAGGTACCATGTTCCTATGCACCTAGTCTTTTTTTCCAAGCTAAGGCGCTACAATTTGGCACTCACTGCAAGTTGGATAAGGAGCCTACTGCCACGATGTCCACATTTTACAATAAACACTACAGTTTATATATGTTTTAAAATATGATTCATTTGCGCGCTATCTTTTATAAGAAATTTTGACAATTTTGAGGTGTATGATGCATTTCAAATAAAACAATTTACTATCGTTCATTCTGCAATTATGAAAATATTGGGAGGGCCTGGCTCTTCACTGATGATATTTTTATAAATTTACATTATTATTTACATTTAGAGTTCGCCATAGAATCCTTGCGAAATTTTGAAAGAATATTCTGAGATTTTTGTGATCAAATTACAATCAACGTTTGAAATTGATACTCTTTTTGTGTAAATTTCTCATTATTTTGAATTTTCGGATTCTAAAGATGAAAAAAGATGTTTTAATAATTATCCGTTACATTTTTTTTTTACAGCTTGAATATGGTAGCTTATTTTGGCATTTCACTTTATAATAGTGAAGCATTAAAATTTTATTTTTGGAAAGAGCAATAAATTAATTTTCATCACCTTTCACGGATGTATCTTTTTTAAAATTCAATACAAGTCTATACTTGAGAGAGGAATTTTCAAAATAAAGTTTCTGTGCCTTTTCTCTCTCCTAGAGGTCGTTGCTCTCACCAAATAACACTATGAAAATGTAAATAGTACATTGCCAAGTACAATGTGGTGACATCTGATAAACTGGATGTCCACAATTAGATGTAGAGTTTCAACCCGGATAGTTGGCGACTTTAGTACATGTTGGCTCCAGTAATGCGGGTTCCCTCAAGAGAGTATTATATACAGGGTGGTACATAATTCCAGATCCCTTTAATTTTTAATAAAAAATAAGTTTTCGGGACTTTTGGGCCACCCTGTATATGTAAAAAATAATATAATTAAATATGTGAAAATCTGTATATAGTATTATGTAACCCCAACACAATCTATGTATAATGTATTGTCTAAATGTTTAATAAAAGTTTGCCTCGCGAGATGGGAAAGAAACAAAGTAGAGGATTGCATCATCCAGGAAGTAAAGGTCACTGCCCTGGACCGATAAAACTTAAGTTCAAAGGACTTCTTCCTGGAGGATTGCAATCATGGCGACAATTTAAGCATGACAAATTAATAGTGAATCACCAGGGAGCACGTGGAAGGATCTCAACCAATGAGAAGTCGAGAGAGTCGAGGACATTTATCTCGGACAAGAAACAAAAAGAAGGTGGGTGACCATGCTACGAGCTAGGTGTGCTCAACATAGGCTCCAACCAAGGTAGTGTACACTCCACCACGTGAAAGGCCAGCTACCTCCGCTGAACTTTCTCCCAATCGCAAGGTCCTGTTCTACCCCATCCAGGAGTGTTCTATCTTCCCCTGTGGAACCCTTGTCACCCGACCAAGACTTCGCCATCACAACCCACCAATCCACCAATCACACATTCGACAGCCAAATTCGACATTGAGTCGACAGGATTCAACATATATTTAAATATGATAATTATATATAGAATATGAAAAATATTTTTGAACCGTTATTGTATGTAGATGGCTATGTGGAACAAGGTTTTAAACATGATGTACTGTAAGTCAGTCAGTATGTCCCACTGTACTCCAGTGTATTATGTGGAACTTCTCCATAGATTTAATGTTTTAAAGCTTTTCATAGGCTGTATATATATTTATTAGACTATCTGATAATTATATCAGATGGGGACACTTTAAAGGATATCTGGACGTTCCATTGTTGCCTTAGTAACCTGTCTCAACAATCATAGAGTTTTGGCAGTCCTTCCGGGTGGTGGTGTCTTTAAATTTGCCTTACGGGCTTATAATTATTTTGCCTATAATGGCTATGGGTGACTGCCGTGTACTCTATTGGCTGTGTGGCCTTGAACGTGGCCTGTTGGCCCATGTGCCTTAATGGCCGGATATTATAAATGGACATCGCCACCCCTGCAATCTTAACAAATGCTGTTCAAGTGGACGCTCAACTGCAATCCAACTAAGCAATTCCTGCAACTTTCCTCTCGATATCTGGAGTCTGGACCTGATCATCTCTGGGACGTGGGACCAATGCTGCTTCTCGAAGTGGACGCTCAATTGATGGAGACTTCCAGCTTTCCCCATAGGATATGGACTCTGGACCTGGTCATCTCTGGACTCTGGGATCTTTGCTGCTGTTGGAATTTGAAGCGGAAAGTGGGCTGAATGCAATCTTTCTAATAAAACAGTTGAATGTCACTTATTGAAAACATAAAATTCAAGGAACGCCTCTAATCAAACTCAACTTTAGGAGGAGTCTATTTATTCTATAGCTTGGTAGATATTAGAATTGGGATATTTCCACACAACTAGGTACTATATAAAATGTAAGAAAATCTATAAACCTATTGATGCAATTATAACATGTACATATGTATCTGTAGTAGCTATTGTAAGCTTACACATTCTATATAGATTTCATTAGAAATTACCATTTAAACTGGTGGATTTCTATGGTTATTTGAGGATGAAACAATCTACGCCATCATAGTGGCCGGACTATATCAGAAACCAACTGTTGATATCAACTTATAAAATATTTAGATAACAAAGTTCCAAAATCACTTAACTAGGTACCGCCCAACAAGAGCAACCTAGTTTATGATAATTGAAACATTGAATAATATGTGAAGATTATTCACATATTAAACAACATTTTAACTCGGGATTCAATCCCGGTTCATGGCTGTTGGGAATCGAGGGTGTTACCTACTGGTCCACCGACTTTTTTTATTTAATAAAATAATTTTATTCTCTGATATACAGACACATTTTTTATAATTTATCGTATTTTCCTTATTCCAAGTTCATATTATACATGATACTCATTGCGGGTAGTTAGTATCTGCTTCTATATTAATGCACCTAATGACTACACATGTTTAAAGCAGTTCGACTTTTGTACTTCTAATTCATCATATGAATTTGTCATTTTGATATTTTATATCCAATCCTCATTCCTATTTACATTTTCAATATAATGTTTTTCATAAAATTAACACATTCTAGAAGACAATAGTTATAGATAGAATTATTTATAAAGAATACTCTATTTATAACTTTTAACAAATATAGCTTTCCGCGATATTATCGTCGAATTCTATGAAGAGAACATTTCACGAGGAATGAAGAAAATTAACCTATTGCACTCCCCAGAAAGTTATTTTAAAAACTTGACGACTGCAAAGTGAAGTTGCGAAAATAAGCTACCAAATTCAAACTGCAACAAATACCAATGGATCGAAAATTACTGGTAATTTAGACTAATCGATAATTTCCACAAAAAGTTTTAAATCAACTTTGACAGAAATTCGATCACAAAAATCTTGGATTAGTATTTTAAAAATTCTAAAGGCTTCTATGGCGAACTCCAAATGTTTAATATTTTGGAAGTTTTATACAAAGAAGCTAGAGTAACAAGATTTCTCTTTAAAAATTGAAATTTTATATAAAACAATGGTTGAATTATTTGATATATCAAGGAAAATATATTCTGGATAATATACCAGGCATCAAACAGCTCATCGTCTAAATGATATTTAGCAAGATAGACAAGTTGAACAACAAAAAGACCGTAAAGAGGTCGTTAACAAATCCTCAGAAGGCAGGATGTAAACATATTGGCCA